AAGAAAACAATAAAAAATAAAGACTGAACAAACATTCATACCCTGGTTCACTGAAGATCTGTCCTTCGTGGTCACTGTCTTCAGATATAAGCCTTCTGGGACACCTAGTAGATCGTGTTGATTTTCTTTGAGGCATTTCCATAATTTCTTGCCGGCTTTTTATGCTAATTAGCTTCCCCGTTCCGTTATCCGCTTTCACTGCGGCACTGTGCTCTGTTTCAATCAGGCTGTACAGCAGGATTTCCCCTCGTAGCGATATTTTCCATAACTCTGATTGCTTCATGCTATAGATCTTTGGAAAGCTGCTTTTATGTACTTTTAGGAACCGTTGGAATGTTTTGAATCTGATCAGCCATTCAAAGGTTATACAACGGAGCATTTTGGATGACAAACTCAGCACGTCTCTGAATCTGTGTTGTGATTCATTGCGCTCAAGACCCCGGTGGCTACCGTAATGTAATGTATATGCAGAAAAAGCCCCATTTTTAATATTTTCAGCTGGAATTTGGAATTTTATCTTGAACGGTTCAGGAATTATGGCAATGAGAAGTGCGCCTGTCCAATCCCGTCTGCGGCGACAGGTTGGTAATACGAATATTATGGCATAAACAGAGGGCTGGCGGCGGTCAGGGCTAGGGGGCCCCCAACACAAGGGGGCCCCAGGCGGCCACTGACCTAATGGTAAAACCGCCACTGGTTATTATTAAAACTATATTAAGATCAGTTTTACTATAATGTGTAATTGTATAACAATATAACAGTAACCGACAAAAAAGATCCTCCACCAGGGGGCAGCAGGCTTGTATAACACTGTATACTGCGGGTTTGTTGATGAAGGTACTAATCCTGATAATCCATATGGCCTGTTTTAAAATCATTGTAAGGGGTTAATGAGATGAACAAAAATATAGTGTGAACATTTTAAAAGAGAAACTCATAAGAATGTATTTACTCCCTAGCCAAATAATTATTTACAAAAACAAATAACAAAAATTTAAAAAACATTTAAAAATATTTTACATGCGTCATTCTGTACGTTATTAATAATTACAATGGCTCACAAAAATTACCCAGTGTGTGTGTGTGTGTGAGTAGTTTTTTTGAATGTTTTTGTTAATTTAATTCTTATTTAAGATGATCATTGAGTAGAAGCTAACTGTTTCACGTAGATCAGGGGTGTCAAACTCAAACTCACACGGGGCCGAAATGAAACTCTGGGACGGAGTCGAGGGCCAAACTTAATATTTTTTGAAAAAGTGACGGCAAATTTGCACATTTTCTTTATCAACATATGTGCAATTTTGAACCTTTAAATTTGGAAACAAACATATTTCAGCAATAACACTGAATGTGGAATAACCCAATTACACACGAGCAAGTCCGTTTTAAATAAAAGGCATCAGTGGTATTCATTACTTGTGGTATAATCAGCATTTTTAAATCTATTCAGGATTTATGTTTTCTTGTTTATTCATTTTTCTTATGTTTTATTCTCCTTTTTTCTCCTGTAATACGTGTCATCGCTGCTGTGACGTCTAGCTTTCCCCACTGAGGAACAATAAAGGGATTTTCTATTCTATTCATCTATCTGCAGCCTTTCCACTTCCTGTTTACTGTAGGTTAAATCTTTTCTCACGGGCCAACAACAACATAAAAATATCATTTTATCTTAAATGAAAATGCAACATCTCACCTGTTAACTTTCATGTTTTGGAGCAGAAAAAGAGCATAAAACCAACATATTTAAAGCTCAGTTTGCTCCACTGGTTTACTGTGATGCTCACCTGTTCCAGCCAGATACCTGCATCATGGGGTTGATCTGAGCTGAGGAGGAGACTCCTGTTGTTTTGTTCATCTTCATCATAATAATGACAACATTAGATGACAACAGGTGCTCACATAGGTTTGTGCTGATGAACATGTCTGAGCAGCTTGACCACGTTGGTGTGTGTCGGGGAGGAAACACAACCACAGAGCCGTGCTGGTTTGAGCGTGTCGCTGCTCGCTGGAGTTATATCAGCTCTGTCTGGACGTTAGCTGGAAAACTTTCTCTTTCAGTCGTGAACACATTACTGAGCGGCTAGAATCTCCGTTTCTGGGCTTCAACGTCAGAAAACAGCTGAGTGAACTCGGCGCTGAGTGAGAGGAGTGTAGTTTGTCCGAGACAGCGGAGCTGCAGACACCAGCAGCAGGCGCTGGAAAAAACACAAAGGAGGGGGCGCTTCGGCTCCACGCTAATGCAGCAAAGCATCATGGGAGTTGAAGTCTTTGCGGTAAAATCGGCCAGCGGGTCAGTTTTAATATATTTTTATATTTATCTCATGGGCCACATAAGCGGGCCTTGTGTCTGACACGTGTGACGTAGAGCATCACAGTAGATGCCTGAGTAATTCTAGTGCCTTGTGCACACTGAATGTAAGGAAGTAACTGGTAATTATTTATGTGTGCTCTTTTTGTTTTTGTCCGTAGTTTCAGAGAGAGAGAGCTGTTTTATCTCACAGTGCTGCATCACTGATCCAGGGTCAGTTTTACACCCTGCACTCACAAAGGAGGAGAAAGAATAGGCACATAAACTCATTTCATATCCGTGACTGATGCCAGCTGATACCCGGAGCTTTTCATGCTCCCATACGGAGGTTAATTGAATGCTGTCAAGAGACAGGAGACGATAAAGGAGCATCAGGTCGATACTGTAAGCTCTCCTTGTACAGACAAAAACACCTCCTCTTTATTAGCTCCCGAAGCTCCTTGTGGTTTGATGTAACGAACCGTCCTCTGATTCTTGCACAAGCCTTAAAAATGTCACAAATCATGGACTAGCTGCTTGTGAGCTGCGGTGTCTTGATTTTTAGCTCTGCTGTGTTTGACTTCTCTCCTGCTGAGTCTCCTTAATGGGTCCCTGCTGGCTCGAATTCACTTAGCTTTCTCTTGTCCTGCCACCACCCACTCTGTCTCTCTCCTCCTCTTTCTTCTTGCTTCCTCTGTCTTCCAGGCCATCTACAAGATGGTGTCATCTGTGATGAAGATGCCAGAGGATGAATCCACGCCAGAGAAGCGGACGGATAAGATCTTCAGACAAATGGACCTCAATAATGATGGTGAGAGGAGAAAACTGTCTCATAGAGTCAAAATGAATGAAAAAAGAGAATTTGCAGAAAAAATAAGACTATGTAGATTTCAAGCTCACGATCTCGCCGGCCACAACCGGAGATCACACGAGGCCAGCTCTCTGTCTCGCAGGTCCGAAACCCTCACGCCTGTTGAGTTTTAGCCAGTACAGGATCTTGGACAGATTTGTTTATGCTGGTGTTGGGGAGACATGTCTAGACCCTGTCCACATTCATTTGAGCATTTTTCACCTGTATTGTTTCCCCTAAGTAGTTCTAAGCAGTGACAATAACATATATGGACACGCCCATTAACCGTGGATGTCGCCCTGATAATCCTGACACTATTTTGTACATTTGATCTGCGTGTAACTTCATAATCCACAAAGTAATGGATTCTGGCACTTTTTACTGATCTAGGTTCATTTCTGTAACTTAGAAAACATTTACAAGGGTATTATTTTGTTAATTGGGTTAAGGCAACCAATAAAAGCCTCCTATTAACTGTCTTGACACAAAAATTCCAATGCTTTACCACCATATAATAACTCACCACACACAAGGGGGATGTCCACTACTAATACTTTATCTAGTTTGGTCATTTTATTTTGCACAGCTTTAAGCAAATGGCAGGCAAACAGCTCAAAAATCACAGCTGATTAGTGAATGTTCAACTCAAAAATCAACAATAGTAATTAATTACAATGACTAAAATGAATTTAGTCATCATACTTACATTCATTGGACGGCTGAAGCTTTAGCTTTTTGTTGGAATTCTGAGTTTGGGTGGATGAGAGAGAAAAGGCTGGTCAGATGTGGCTCAAGGGTCTACCTCTGTTACCTGCTGTTCAAGACAAGTGGTTACTCTTTCTAGCCCTAGATCTATTTGATGTTACGGTCTTGAGCATTGTTGTCTTCTTTGATATAGAAAAATCTCTGGAAAACAAGATTTAAGGTAAACATGATCACCCAAGCTTTATTTTAGTACTTTGCCTCTGATCTGGCAGGATTATTCATTAGCGATCATTGTTGAAAGCATAATAATATATTTTTATAAAAATAATTTTTAAGTAGACACTGTAAAAAATGAATCCTAAAAATACTACTTAAGTATTTTGTTTCTTACATACAAAAAAAACAAACAATTAATGGCACTCAAGAACAGAAAAGAAAAATAGAAAACAAAGAAAAAATAGAAAAAAGAAAACAATTGGACTTTAATCTCAGAATTCTAAATTTTTGACTTCTGAGAAAAACTCAGAATTCTGAGACTAAAGTCAAAATCATTTTACTTTACAGTGGCCCGAAGTCTTTTCTGTGCTTACAAGAAGAAACATTTGAATGCATACCACTGTAGCCGAGCATTAAAACTGTACTGGGTCCGAGCACACTTCTGGTGACATCATCATACCAAAAACATGCCTAATATCCCCCAATATATATATAAACTGTAAACTGGGTGAGTTGGCGGCCATGTTGCCATATTCTGCTCATATCCGCTCTGGCTCACTTGCGCCTGAGATATTTTTCCCACAGAGATTGACAAAGGATTAATTTATAGTAGAGACAACAGCAGATGTATTACATGCATTACATGATACATAAAAAGCTATGGTTATTTGTATGCAGAGGCCAGAAGTAGCTTATCATTTGCAGGCTGGAGCACTTCCTATAGGAATATAATATTTCTCCCACAGTGACCATGTAATGCAAAACTTGACAGCTCACAAAACAGCATTCATAGGAAATTCTAAAACATCTTTGACATTGAAAGCAGCCTAAGCCAAGAGGCCCAGAGTTCCCTCTCCCCAGCTACTTGGGCAAGCTCCTCCTGGGGAAACCCAAGGTGCTCCCTGGCCAGCGGAGAGTCATAGGCCCTCCAACGTGTCCTGGGTCTTCACTTGGGTCTCCACCGATTTGGACATGCCCGGAAAACCTGACCAGGGAGGCGTCCAAGAGGCCAGACCCAGACCCAGAGATACTTAAACTCCTCCACTTGAGGCAGGACCTCATCCCTGACCTGGAGAAGGCATTCTACCATTTCCCAATTCAAGACCATGGTCTCGGATTTAGATGAGCTGATTCTCATCCCAGCCACTTCACACTTGGCTGCGAACTGCCCCAGTGAAAGCTGGAGATCACTGTCTGATGAAGCCAACAGGACCACACCACCTGTAAAAAGCAGAATCCTGATCATTATTCCACCAAAATGGATCCCCTCAACGCCTTGGCTGTGCCTAGAAATCCTGTCCATAAACGTTATGACCAGAATCAGTGATAACGGGCGTCCCGAGTCGAAGTCAGCAACACACCATCCCCACTATAAACAGTGTTGGTAGTGCACTGCTTTCCCCTCCTGAGGTGCCAGATGGTGGACCAGAATCTCCTCAAAGCCGTACAGAAGTCTTGCTTCATGGTTTCACTTAAGTCCTCCCATGCCCGGGTTATTGCCTCAGCAACCACTCGAGCTGCATTCTGCTTGGACAACCAGTACCCGTCAGCTGCCTTTGAAGTCTCATAGGCCAAAAATATCAAAATAGGACTCTTTCTTCAGCTTGACAGCATCTCTAATTGCCAGTGTCTACTAGCGAGTTGCCGCCACGACAGGCCACGTCAACCCTGCAGCCACAGCTCTGATTGGCCACCTCAACAATGGAGGCATGGAGCAGGGCCCATTCAGACTCAATGTCCCACGCCTCCCTCAGAAAACTTTGAAAGTTCTGTCACCGGTTGGAATTGAAGCTCCTTCTGACAAGAGACTCTGCTAGATGTTCCAAGCAGACCCTCACAGTACCTTTGGGCCTGCCAGGTCAAACCGGCATCCTCCCCCATTGTCTGAGCCAACTCACCACCAGGTAGTGGTCAGTTGACAGCTTTGCCCCCTCTTCACCCGAGTGTCCAAGACATGCGGCTTGCCAATCAGAGGAAACGGCAACAAAGTCGATCATCGAGCTGCGGCCTAGGGTATCCTGGTGCCAAGAGCACATATGGACACCTTTATGCATGAACATTGTGTTCATTATGGACAATCCATGACCATCACAGAAGTCCAATACCAAAACACAGCTCAAATTTAGATCAGGGTGGCCGTTCCTCCCAACCACCATCTCTCCATGTCTCATTGTCATGGCCTGTGTGAGCATTAAAGTCCCCTAGCGGAATGAGGGAGTCACCGGAAGGAGCGCTCTCCAGCACCTTCTCCAAGGTCTCCAGAACGTGTGGGTAGTCTGAACTGTAGTTTGGTGCATAAGCAAAAACCGCAGTCAGGACCCGTACCCCCACACGTAGGCGGAGGAAAGCTACTCTCTCGTTCACAAGGATAAACCCCAACATACAGGCATCAAGATGGGGTGCAGTTAATATGCCCACCCCTGCTCGGCAGGGGAGCAACTCCACAGTGCTAGTGTGTCCAACCCCTCTCAAGGAAACTGGTTCCAGAGCTAGAGCCATGCGTTGAGGTGAGTCCAACTATATCTAGTCTGAACCTCTCAACCTCACACAAAACCTCAGGCTCCATCCCCACCAGAGAGGTGACATTCCACATGCCAAGAGCCAACCTCTGTAGCCGAGGGTCAGACCCCAAGGTCCTGGCTCTCGGCTACCACTCGTCACACACTGCACCCGACCCTTTGGCCCCTCCCATAGGTGGTGAGCCCATAGGAAGGAGGACTTACGTTTCCTCTTCGGGCTGTGCCTGGTCAGGTTCCATGGGTGAAATCCTGGCCATCAGGTTCTCACCAAGGTGCCCCACCTCCAGGCCAGGCTCCAGAGGGGGGCCCTGGTGACCCGCGTTCAGGCGAGGAAATTTTTGTTCATAAGGGGTGTTCGGGCTGGTCTTTGTCTGATGCCTTACCTATCCCATTAAAACATTCCTACTGAGTCTCGCCACACCTCCACCTAGCTCAACCACTCACCTGCTGATATGCCACGTTGGCGCTCGAAGCCGCTTGCCTCCTTAAGAAAAATGTCTTCCCCCTTTTTTCTAATGGAGGTAACAGGCAATCCTTCTTCCTGGAGTCAGTTTCTGTGTCTGTTCTTCTCCTGAGTGATGAGTCTGTTCTTTGTGCGTGCTTGTGTGCACACGCTTGTTAACAACTCTTTTCTGAAAGAGAAACTCTGAGAGCGTGCGCAGAGGGGTTGAGAGGGGTGCTGCCAATCATTGCCTCAGTGTCGCTCTCTCAGTTCTCCAGGAAACGCCTTCTTCCCAGGTATTTTTCTAACAGGAGGCCTGGTTGAAATAAGTCTCCACCCACGCCTTGACTCCCACTTTAATTCCACAAATGTTGCCTTTTCAACTATATTTAATATAGCTTGTCCTAAAATAGCTCTCCCTATTATTTTACAGTGATGTTATAAAACAAATTGTAGTCACTTAAACCTCGACCTACTAGAAGACTAACTTTTGTACACACAGAAATAATATGAGGCATACATGGAGTTAAATGCAGATTGCATGGAAACAAAATGACTTATATATACATGAAGCAAATGCAATGTACATGTATGATGGATTACTAGAAAGCAGTCTGTTTTTTCATGTGTTTTACAGGGAAATTATCCCTGGAGGAGTTTATCAAAGGTGCCAAAAGTGACCCCTCCATCGTCCGGCTTCTCCAGTGTGACCCCAGCTCTGCCTCCCAGTTCTGAGCCCACCCAGCCCGTTTTGACCTCCTATTCTTTCTGTTGCTACTCAGAAAGCTTCTAAACTAAGTGCATGATATTTCACATATCTCTCACATCATCTGTTTATCGTTGTTTTGTGGAGGAGCCAAGAAGAAACGTGGAAATCAGCTTAGTTTAATTCTTGGGAAAATGAAGGGACGCATGTAAATTTAAAGGTGTGTCCACAAAGGCACCTGCTAATGTTCCTGGACATCTCTTATCTGTCTGTGTCTGAGGCTGGTTTTCTAGTGTTGTCATATGGATGGCTCGGGTTACTCCTCCAACACACATGTATATCATGTATATACTGTATGTTTGCTTGTATCATAAGATCAAGTAAATCTGTCTTCGTTTACCGTAAGGTACACACTCTTTGGCATTGAGAAGCAGTATTATGTAGCATAGCTTCCTCATCTGATCCTAATGGGAGGTTGGAGGGGATTCTCGGGATTTTACTGCTATATGAAATTTCGCTGAGAAAAGAAGGTCTAAGATCCCATTTGATTATCATCTTAAAGATTTTAAAAATTGTTTGTATATATTATTTTATTTCTTGTTCTATTTATGAATTTGTTCATTTCTATTAGTTTGAAAGTGCTTTTATTTTGAAATGTTGTTTAAGGTATTCCAGTTTACCACCACAGAGACAAAGTTTCTTTTGGGATCGTTGAATTTTGCTCATCAAGAAGAATTTTGAATTCCCAGTAAAGCAAAGGCATCCCATAATGCATTTAATCAACGGCACCAGTAGCACATATCATTTAAGCCAACATGTATTTGAAAATTACGGCTGTGCATTAGGTTCAAATGTGTGTGCATGTGAATACACAATGTATACGTGCGGTTATATTTCTACAGTATTACTATGTTGATGTTTTTCAATTTGTACCTTATATTTACTATTGAGCAGTAAACTGTAGATAGTTGTACTCTGTCACTTCTACTGCATGATCCTACAAGTCAAACAAGGCAAATCTCACAACTGTTTACACACAGTGTTATTTTTTTGTAGGTCTGTAGCCCCAAAGAAAGGATTTAATAACCCTCTCCTCTCCTCTGGTAAACAGGAAACTCACTAAGGGCTTGTCCATCATTTATGTTTCTGTTTCTCAACAGTGTGTGTGTGTGTGTGTGTGTGTGCGCGTACAGCAGCCACGTGAAACGATAAGAAGGCACCAAGATGTCAACATGTAGTACCTCGACAGGGATTGGTGTTTTGAATACTATTAGCACTAGACTTATTTGTCAGGTTCTATGAAAGGTATCTGGGGGATAAATGAAAAGCTGAAACAGTGTGCTCATGCAACCCTCGTCACCAACAGCCTCTCTCACATGCCTCACCTGGACTGCCACTGCTGTCAGATCGCCATTGCCATCTTGTGTTTTTTTGTAGCACACACTTTGGGTGACATGACACCACAAAGGTGTGTGCTCGGAAGAATAGATGAGTGCTCTGAACCAGGTGCTCAAATTCTCAACATTTTACAACATCCTTTAATATTAAATTGGATAAGAATGTATTTCTTTCAGAATTTATGAAAAACTGATATTAACATTATTTTACCCTGAATAAGGTACCACTTAAAGCAGAAATCTGGAGTTTTCCCTCTTTCGGAAACTATGTAGGATTTTTTTATCCATTGTAGTGATTTTCTTACCATGTACTGTGGTGTTTTTTGCTTTAATTGGCTTTTTGCTAAGCCTGCCTCTGTCCTACAGAGCCCCATGCGATTTCAACTGAGCACTGCTCATTCACTTAAGTACAGATGCCAATCAAAGTAGGGGCGAGCGTTTGCGAAAGTACCTCAACTGATGCAGAATTAGCTAAATTTCTTAAGGACAAGTTTTTAATTATATATATATATATATATATATATATATATATATGTGTGTGTGTGTGTGTGTGAATTAATAAGATGAGAATAATAATGGTTGGCTGGCTAGAGGTGTGTGTTCACAAATGAGAGGCATTGCTTCAATCATTATCATGGAAGTAGGAAGAGGGGCATAAGGTGCAGTACATATTTTCACCTCTAGATGGTGCCCTATAACAAAACTCTGTATTTCTGCTTTAAAGTACATCAGAAATTGGTAAATTTTGTGTATGGAAACACCCAAAGTGTACCCGAGAGCTGCCCTAGTGCCGCTGCATCCAACTAATAAACACTGAGCTAAAGTCATCTCGTACTAAATGTTTGCACAAGCGCTTCCTAACCAGCCGCGCCTCTGCTTTGGGGATTTTTCAGAGTCACTGCCTTCTGCTTGTAGGATAAAAATAAGCATTTCTCCCATTAAATCCTTTTCTACTCTCACTGCCTCCGGAAGAACTGGTATCTCTTGTTGGGTGATTAAGCCTGATCGTTCCCCCCTGATTCCCCGACTGTTCCCAAATAGTTTTCTGTTGCATGAAAACCTCAAGCAAGGATGCAATGTTCATGTTGGACCTGATATTGAAATAAACCTGTGTGCTTCACTGCAGCGTGTGTTCAACAGCGTCCTCATTTCTGGTTCTGGGATGAAAACACGGAAGGATTTCGGGTTTGACGGGGGAACTTTCCCACCCCACCGGTTCAGAATGAAGGTCCTCGACATACTGTACCTGTCAGGAGGTGATGCAACACCTCCCAGGTTTTCCATCAGCTCGTCTTACTGAACCAGTCATACCCGTCGGGCCACTGACGTGTCAGGAGCACACACTAAAAAGAAGCAGTCTCTGTTACAAAGTTGAGACACTAATAGATGATTCGGATAAAAATTTATCAAACCTAGAAAAAAAATATGAAAACACAAAAACAATCAGTGCTGCTTCACAAATCAGCAAACTTTAAATGTAAACAAAAACATTTTCCTTCAGGAAAATTAACACTATCTGTGTATCTAAAGTGAATCACAGGGTCTGGTAAACAAGTGTAAACAAATGGCTGAAGCAGGAAACGCAGCTGATCTGATTTGTAGACGAAAAGTTTTCACACAAACCGTTTGATGCTTCAGCCGTTGTGGTATTCGACGTGGTTTTCTTTAGTCGAACAAATACTGCCAAGCTGTTTACGAAGCAACGTCCCTGACAAGCTGAAGTGAAGCCAGTGGCAATTTGTAAAAAAGAAAATTAAACTATTTTTATACAAGAGAAAAAAATGCTCCTTCATTTGTTCTTCGCCAACTTTAGCCAACAATAGTTCTGAAAGATGCAAACCTCGTCTGATGTTCGTTGCCCTGTAAGATGATGGCAATGTTGCGTTCAATTATTGGCATAAAAAGAAGAGCCAGCTGCTTCTTGTGAATTAAAACCTAGCATTGTGTCCTCAGCCCAGCTGTCTTTCCTGAGAGACACACAAGGATCAGGGACACGGAGCAGACGGTCTGAACATTAGAGGAGTCTACCAACAAATATAACGTCTCTCGAGAGAGAGAGAGAGCTTTGATCGTTTGCTACGTTTCTGCGACTCCAACTCAATCACAGTAACGGCTAAATCCAAAAGCTGGACCTCTCTGGTGCAGCCCTTCTCAACGGTTGGAGCTGTTCTCGCTCCCGTTCTCCTCGGCTGCCAGCTCGTATTTCTCTCGGCTCTACACGCGACCTCTCGCGGTGTGTTTGCCGAAGTGGTTGCCTCTCGGAGTGGGACCTGTGGGGCTGCCGAGAGTGATGCCGAGGAGGAGCTCGGGGCAGCTGTCTTGGAGCTCCGCTGCACAGTTCAGCCGGGTTGTTATGGATCCTGGAAAGTTCAGTATAGACTTTTGAAGGCTGATTGTGGATTCTTGGAGGTTGAAAGGCTTCCTTTGCTGGTCCCACCACATGTATCTACATAAAAATAGAAATTGACTTTAACTTTTAAATCAGCGCTGCACTTAAGTAGTCTAATCACCAAGGATTCTATTTTAGATCTGGTGTAAAGTGTTTTTCAACCAGAGACTCACTGTTTGTGTGAAGTGCCTCTTCTTAGTGCGACTACAAGGCAATCCCAGGAAGGAAACACAGGCAGCAAAGCAACGAGCAGAAAACACCAGCTGAATAAAACACATCACGATCAGAGGTCCCCAAAGAATCAGAGTGGTAGACTGAGGAGAAAAAAACAAGGAGGAAGGTTGGAAAACACAACCTGGACCAATCAGACTATAATCTAAAACAAGTGAGCACTGCTGGCTAAGAAATATGGAATTGTCCCACAAGTATTATATGAAACTGATTTTTTGTGTACCGTCAGGTTGGATGTGGAAAAAACTAGTATTGGCATATGCAGCACATATGACATGACTACGGGGAATTCAAAGCATACTGTTGTTGTTAGGCGTGCTCAGCAGACTACAAACAGAATTACAAGATTGCAGCCCCGAGTCCAGAATCACAACAAAACGTGACGCAGCTAGCTGTAGTTGCAACGCACTACAGCTAGCTGTAGTTGCAACGCACTACAGCTAGCTGTAGTTGCAACGCACTACAGCTAGCTGTAGTTGCAACGCACTACAGCTAGCTGTAGTTGCAACGCACTACAGCTAGCTGCGCGACATTGACTCGCCCATGTTGGCTTGCAATGAGGAAGGCTGTTGTTGATTTAGCATTCAGGAGGCAGCAGAGCACATCTCGCCCAGAGATGCTAACCATTAGCATTAGCAACTCTACCACACAGCAGAACTCCTCCAGGCTTGTGTTATTTGTGGAGCTGAAGCATCCGCTTTGCAGAGCAAACAGTCAGTAGTAGAGTCTCGTTGCTGTTAGTCAGAGGCGAGATGCCCAAATATCACGAGATAAGAGTCTAAAACCTGTTGTATTCCGCTCACCTCTCCTCTGGCTCACTTCTAGTTCCTGAAACAGGAGCGCCAGGATACCAGAGCTTTTTTCCCCACAGAGATCAACTCGCATTCATTTAAGCCAGGGCTATACAACTCCGGGCCTCCCGGGCCGGTATCCAGCATGTTTGAGTTTCAGATCTGCTTCAACACACCTGATTTCAATCAACCAGTGACTAACATGCTTCTGCAGAGCCTGATGAGCTGCTGAACAGGTGACTCAACCACTGAATCTAGCGTGTTGGAGCAGAGAAACCACTAAAACATGCTGGACACCGGCCTTAGAAGCCCGGAATTGAATAGCCCTGATTTAAACAAAAGACTACTAGCTTGTCAAGCCAACCTACATATGTCAGTATATGGTCTGGCCACGACCTATAGACAGAGTTTAAAGGTAAAGTCCCACCAGTCGTCACAGACATTGGTGTGTGTGCAAAATTTGTTCTACGACTTTGACCCATCCCCTGGGGAACGGTGAGCTGCAGACACAGCAGCGCTCGGGAAGCATTTGGTGGTTTAACCCCCCAATCCAACCCCTTAATGCTGAGTGTCAAGCAGGGGGGCACTGGGTCCCATTTTTCAGGTGTCTTTGGTATGACCCGACGAGGATTTGAACCCTGGTCTCCCAGTCCCAGGGCGGACACCCATACCACTAGGCCACTGAGCTGGTTTGGACATGGGTCGGAATCGATGCTCGTCTTCCAGACTGTCTCCACATGCTATTGGACAGCAAAAAATGTGACGTAGTCACTGCTACGGCAGTCTGCCATACACTGTCAAGGACTCACTCAAATACATATTGTTTCTAAATATACTTAAGTACCTCTATCTTCTCTTGACTCAAATTAAATTAAATAATGCCATCTTGAGAGTTGTTTGCTAATCCATTGTTTACACAACTTATCTGCTACTAGCATGACAAGCAGCTAAAACGTTCAGTTTTGATTAGTCAGCATGAGAAACAAACCTGAGCCCAAATCGATGTTGCAGACATGAAAAGCTATGTAACTTTGCATCAGTGTAGCCCTACGAGTTCAGCCAAGACGTGCTCCAGCTACGAGTTAAGCGTCCTAATGAGCAGCACAATGATGCCATAGTGCTCAAACCCAACAACGGAGGTAAAATCTCAGTGCATTCAGTCAATGTTGCACTTAATCCTCCATTCAATCAAGTGCTCCAAATTCAGAGTAAGACCTCATCTCTGTACATAATTTGAGTGTTGCTTCTTTGCCCAAACTGCTGAACTAATCTGGTCCGGTCAGTCAGCTGCAGAGAACAAGACAATACAGCGTGGAAGATGTCGAAGCCGAGGCATTACAAGCAGCCGACCACACCAGTGGGTGCTGGCAGGCACACAGCAGATCGTTACACAACCCGAGTCTTCATGGAGGTCAACAAAGTCACAAGCAACAACGAACATGGACCCCGTCACAACCACTGTCCCGCAATAGAGGTACTGGAAACGTTCCTTTCCTTGGAATAAAGGTTCTTTAGGAAAAAGAACAGACGTGGTTTACTCAGTCCTGCCACAACTTTACCTGAAGGGGGGGGGGGGGGTTAACACGAGCCGCTTTCATAAGACACACCGTGCTGGCTAATCAGCATAATATTACCACCACAATGTGTTTTATGAAAGCACCATGGTGGCATGGTGATGCAGGTAGTAATATTACCACAACAGACGTGTGAATGAAAATCACGCTTTGGCGCAACAGAGGGTGGAGTCACGATCACGTGTGGAATTACCGCCATGCTCCGGCTGGCAACTGCACTGAAAATTAAAGTAGACACGGACATAAGTTTTGCTTTTGTAAACAGAACCAGCTGAGAAGCAAACTGGAACAATGCAGCGCTCTGGGAGCGTCTCTGCGTTAGAGCTGGAGCTCAGATCACCAAACGGTTCACGGGGACTGTTAGGAACCTTCAGTAGCGGTTCGATAAATAAAAACTTGAAGAGCGCAGCTTCAATTGGGATAAAAAGCAAGTTAAGTCCCTGTGACAGCAGAGACCACCCACCCCTGCATAAGAATAGAAATTGTAAAACGAGTTTTGGCTCTGCTGCCCAGCTAGTGGTGCACGTTCATGAACGACAGGTGTTGCTTCAGCCTTAAAGATGGAAATAACAAAAGCGACTTAAGGTACGATTCACTGTTGGAGATGAAAAATTCCAGATTTATGCTTTAAATGACAGCATTTCATGGTAAACGTTGTATATCTAACCCCAAGTCTCCTGCTAACTGCCACTTGATAGTACAGTGACTGACTGGCTGCAAGGCAAAGATAAGTTCAGGCAAACAGAACACAGCGTCACAGAGTGAATAAATGTTTTTTAAGAACACTATGGCTTTAGGGGATTTAACATCTGTCTACTTCTGGCTTTGTGCTATTAACAGCTGAAATCCAGCTGAGCTGTAAAATCCTGTGTGCATCGACAGCTGCTCTGCCACTAACCACTTGTATCAAGATGAAATCCAGGTTTAGACAAAGGTCCCTTCAAATGCATGCTTAAGTGCTACTGATGTGTGGCTGCAGCAGTGAGGCTGAGCAGGCCTGACAGTCCATCTGCAGCAAACGAAAAAGACACAGCCTGCAGCGCGCCGACAGTGTCAGGTCAGCATTTCTACCACCAGTCCATCAGCAGTAACGTCTGACAGACTTAGTGATGATGCAGATGGACATAAGACCTCCTTCTGCACTCACACACACACACACACACACTGCTCCTGCAGGGATGCCAGCTCTCACACACGGAGCCAGAAACACACACGTCTGACCCCCTCCACATGCTCTCATGCATGGAACACTTCATTTCTTCATGCATCCCCTTTGGTCTCTGAGTCCATGTTTTACCTGCACTACACCTGCCTGCCATGTGGCTACTTAGCCACACCCTAAACATTAGGGCACATAAATACACCCCTGAAATAAAAACTAATTAACATTACAATTATTTGACATTAAAGACCAACAAGCAAGATGTCAACATCAATATAATCTGCACACAGACACTTACGTAGACGCGGGTAGGGTCAAAGGGACACTCGTTGGTCTTGCTGGAGTAGCCAATAGCATCAGGAAAGCGGCAGTGGGTCAGAAGGCTCCACCCACCGTTAATGATAGCCGTCACCATTGACACAAAGAGGCCGACGGTTGAAGCTGCTGCCACGAGAGACGAAAACAGGCTGAATGTGAATAAAGACCATGTCTGTGGGAGGGAAGAAGGAAGGAGGCTGAAATAATCATGAAAGTGAGCCTCGATTACTCAGCTGATTAAGTTTTAATGGGTGCGATGCAGTAAATAAACAGACATTCAAGAATAAGCAACAGCAGATCTTTGGACATGTCGTAGCAACAAGAGTACAAAGTAACACTAGCTAGCAAAAACTTTGTCAGACCTTCAGAAATATTGACCTGAATCACGCGGGCTAGACGCGAAAACTTTGAGATCATGTGACGTAGATCTTGTGATTATTTAAAGCCTAAAATATCCAGAGGTCACGTTTTAAAGACCCTCTAGAGCTACGGTGTTTGGTGTTGATTAAAACCTGCGAGGTTGTGTAAGCGAACTTTAATTTTTAAAGTAGTCTTAATGGGAAAAAACAAGAATAAAATCATACAGACCAAATCTTGTTAAAGGCCTTCTAAAGGAATGAGACTTCAGATGTTTAAAGGAATCGAAAGAATGAAGCTACGCAAAAGCAAGAAAAACAGCATTCCACAAGCTGGAGCCCACCTCAACAAGCCTGAGGAGCTGTAAAGGCCCCTGGAGCCTCACAGCACAAAACCCTCAGAATGAAAGCTAAAACCGTAAACCGGAGTGTAAAATATACTAGCAACCAGGGTAAGGAGACACAACCAAGTGTGGTGTTCTCTCTCTTACAGCAGCTTTTTGGACTGACTGGAGGCAAACACACTTATTTTTATTCAAAAATAATGAGTAATGAAGCAGGGAAGAATAGGTAGTTAACCAATACTTACTGGTAAACATCCAGCAGTCCTACAGGGACTAATAGGTAGTTATCTATGAAAGCAATAAGGAGTGAATCCCAAATGGATGTAGTGCCTCCTGTGGACTCTCTTTAGTAAACTTCATGAAGGATGCAGAGGATTTGCAACGTCACAAAGATTTAACATCCCCGTTTCATCTTGATTTCACTCGCCTGTCACCTCATCGTCCATCGTCGACATCCGTCCATCTGGAGATGATGGAAAGTGAAGCCTTCTCTCAAGTATCTACTGAGGAACAAATCTGTACTTACTCAGTACTTAACCAGTACTTATATGTTGCTACATTGCCATTTACTATGAAGACATTGAGCTTATTCAAACATCATTTTCTTTCATCTTGTGTGAGGTAATATTCCACAGATGGGTGAACAAAATCCTACAGGTTACAGTGTTACCCGGCTCAAATCAATCACTAAAAAATGTTCAGTGTTTAGGGTACTTTTTAAATTATCAGAAAAGTACACAAAAATTTACTTTGACATTTATAAACTTTCAAATCAACGTGTAAAAACACTCTAAAACTACATATTCTTCCCTGCTTCATTACTCATTACCCCCTAAGTGGGTCCCTAGTAACGAAGCACAATTTTGCGTACTTTATTGTTAAGTGTTACCGCGGGGAGTTTTCATGAAGCTACATTTTAACACCTTTAGACATCCATTTGGCTTAAAAGAAGAACAGAGCAGAATTTCATCAGCATACAAATGAGACAAATTTTGAAATGTGTGTGGGAAATGTAGAGAAGGAAAAGAGTGGGTCCAAGAACTGAACCCTGTGGTACCTGACACAACATTTGGGTACAATGTTGTTTACGGAAACTGCAATGGAACACGCAACTGAGGGGCACAAGGGTGGAAGTGCAAGTACTGGGGCTGGGTCTAAATCCTGCAACACTGTGTGCTAACACACATGCAACATGGCAGGAATAGCAAAGTGAGAGCCGAGTTTGAAGTTGGAAGCCGTCTCACCCCACTCATCATTCCATCCAACTGCTTCCTTTGGGAATTCTTAGGCATGTAGGTCTGGGCAAAATGGCCTAAAATCAATATCATGATATTTTGAGGATTTCACCTTGAGAACGATAAATGGACGATAACTACCGGTATGTGCACAAACAAAAGTTGTCCACTAGATGGGGCTGTCACGTGTATTACGTTGAGTCATATTTTTACGCGACTCAAGGTGGCACAGCTTCTTAAAGGGACATGAACGCTGCCGACTTACACACATCTTTCTTTTTTTATTATCAAATTTACTGACATGGAAAAAATTATCACAATAAGAGTCAGAAATTACAATAACGATAAATGTTGGATTCATTGCCCAGCCCTAGAGGCGTGGCAGAAGTATATCAACTTAGAGAATCTTATCAATAACAAGGTTTACAGAAGCCTGCTTGAAGACGCAGCAGCCAGTGAAGACTCAAGGTGCAAAAACGTGAGATTCCTGATGACTGATTAAGATAAGACTGGTTAGCCCCGCTCGCTTCATGGTGGCTCTCACTAACAAAGGGAATAAGGAGTGGTTTAATCACACTTAAGCTCCGTCTTTCTGTTCGGCTGGTGGCCTTGTCCATCTCGTTTGAGCAGCCTGGCAGCGGAACGATGAGTAAACAGAGGAGGTCTAACCATCTTCGGCAACGTACCGTAATGTTTTTGTGTTATGAAACAGACAGAAGCTGGTAGCTTACACAGTAAGGTATGCATGTGGGCAGACACAAAAATAGATCAGAGTTTCTGAATTTCTGATTTAGATCAACATGAAAAGATACAACAGAAGAAAGCTCAACATTTTTTATGTCTGAGTAAAAAAAAAGGTCGAGAGATACTAACCAGGCCTTTGCTCTTCTTGTGTTTTGACAGGACGATAGCCAAGATGCCAACAATGACACCCTGCAAAAAAAAAACATCTGATAAGGTTTGTTTTCTAAGAGGCAGCAACTACAAGGTAGCACACATCTTCTGCTTACAGAATTTGGCAGATTTAAGTCACGTCCAATCAGAACACGCATTAAAACCTCCCTTTAACCACAATCAGACCTCCTTTAGATCGATTAAACCTTCATATTAACATTGGCTTCAATTTACACAAAGAGCAATGATGGCACACCTGCATGGCTGCTGTTGGCAAATGAAAAGTTAGGATTTATTATAGACTTGAATAAAGAATGTGAGTTTTCTTTGGTGTTTGGATGCCACGGATGTAACACTACAAGCATTCTTCCTTCCAGAGTTTGAAGCTTTATGGAAACACGTTTTATTGGGCTGCATGACTAACGCCTTAAATCTGCAATAGCAAATCTGCTAAACAAGTTAGCTTTTAAACACAAACTCCTCTCTCGCCATGCCTGGCCACGTCCTCCTGATACAGGAACCTGCATCTTCAGAGGATTCGAGAGAGCGCTAAACACCAGTGGACATTTTCTAGGTCAAATACGTCTCGTTGTCCGTGACTTCAAATGGTGTTTTTCTATTTGGGACTGTGGTAGTTTGTCCTGAAGCTGAAGTGGTAGCAGCCGGCTGTTTCTCCTTCTCTGATGTTATTGAGCAGAGAACCTCTCACACAAGTGGTGTTCTGTTGCTAAATGTGCGAACTCCTAATGACTGGAGGACCCAGTGAAGTGACGAAATGCAGCAGTTCGGTGAGACCGACAACCGGATGGTGCAATCGTTGGTAGGGTTGGGCATCATCTGATTCTGAACGTTTCTGATTCCAATTCCTTGTTTCGATTCCGGTTCCTATCGATTCCCGATTCCGATTCGATCCGACTTTAAGAGTCGCCTAAAAACACACCTCCTCTGCTTGGCGTTTCCTGAACATGTTTGATTCGGACCTCTTTTACGTTGAATTTCTTTCACAGTTTTCATTGGTTCACTCTATCCCTTGTTTTACCCATCTGTCCTGTACTAGAATGTTTCACCTTTTTTGTCATTTGAATTGCTTTTATTTTTGATTTATTCACTATATTTGTACTTCTACTGTACCATGTTCAGCGCCTTGGGCCTCCTGACAGGGTTGCGGAAGGCGCTTTATTAATAAAGCTTTGTTTGATTGATTGATTGATTCTTTCAAGACACGACATGCTTTACATGAGCTAGCTAACCACAGGTCCTACTTGATGAAATAATCTTAACTTCAACATGAATTTTAACTCCATGAACAACAACATCACCTTCATTCAGACAAAAACGTGATTTGGAGACAAAAAGAAAAAGACTTGCAGCACAACCAGTGTGTTTGTTTCTGACCACTACCAAAGTCTGGAAGAAGCCTCTGGGATGAGAGGCTAAATGTCTCCAACATATCCAGAAACGTCCAGCTGTCTTCAGCTGAAGCTCTCAGGATGATCATGTCCAGGATGACTGAGAACTACACCTCCATGCTGCAGCAGCGTTCAGTCACAACAGGAAGTGGAATTTAAACGTAGCTGCTGTCAGTAACAAGCTAACAGGTTTAAACATTAAAACTCAACAGAAGTTGTTCAGAAGGAAATTAAAATGTTCACTCTTTGTGTGTGATTTATTATTATTATTATTATTATTATTATTATTGTTATTATTATTTATTGTGGCAGAAGCTGGTGTGGTCCACCACAGAGAAGCATGATGACTTTTAATTATTCAACAGGTTATTGTTCAGCCGTCTGACGCTCACACACACACACACACACACACACACACACACACACACACACACACGAGTGTTGGTGAGCGGCTGCGTCCGACTGCTGACGCTCCGTGTGTGTTGTTATTTCTGCAGTGAGACAAACTCACCTCACACCGTCCAGAGTTGTTCTTTAAGCTTCTATTAAATCCACCGTGTTGACGTATTTAACACGTTTCCTCTACGCTGCAGGAGTTAACGTTTACATTACGGAGTAAAAGTTCGGCAGACGCGTTTGTTTATATCCGGGTGGGGGGAGGGGGGGCTCGGTGCTGCACACACACAGCTGTTCTGATCAGCTCTGAAAAGCGTTGATCATAATTTGCAGATCACGTTCATTTTTCACAGAGATCAGCCGCGGATTCCTCTTCCGGTCGGCATTCTAGGAATCGAAACTAGGAGTTGAAATAAAAAACTTTGAACGATTCTGGGAAAAACTAACAGTTGGTCCGGGTTCCAATCGATGCTCGATGGCCAACCCTAATCGTTGGTTTCAGACCAAGCCTTGTCATTAGAGTGTACAGCAGGGCATACAGACGGTCATCCCTGTAGTTATGCTGCTATAGGCTTAGACAGCTGGAGTGTCAGAGTGAAGCTGCTATTGTGTTCTGCTGAGCTGTGGTGGCCTCATGGAGACGGCCATCGGCTAGCACACTGCTTCTTCTCTTCTCTCTGTCCAGATAACATTTTACCTTCTGGAATGTGCTACTACTAGTTCATCTGCTGAATGATTTTATAGATTCACCTAGATAAAGACTATAAGGTTTATCGCTTACTAAACAGAACATCTACTAAGAAATCACAGTTTAGCCATAGAAACACAACTTGGTGTGTGTGTGCGTGTGTGTGTGTGTGCTCTGTCTTCTCCATCCCCAGTGAGTCGTGGAGGATGGCTGCTTATACTGAGCCGGGATCCTCTGGAGGTTTCTTCCTGTTAAAAGGGAGTTTTCCTCTCCACTGTCGCTGCATGCTTGCTTAATGAGGATTGCTGTAAAGACACTGATGCCTGTGATTGACTTGATGCAATTTGCTGGCTTCCTTATATAGGAAATGTTTTAATGATTGGCTTAATGAACTGACCTGTGTCAGCATTTTTACTTTGTGAAGTGCCTTGAGACGACTTGTCGTGATTTGGCGGTAAATAAATAAACTTGAATTGAACTGGTTGAGGTTTTTAGACAAATGCGAACAAACTACATTACTTTTCTTTTAAATCTCCACAATATATTTATAGCTATACCATGTTAGAACGCTGGTAAGAGGCAAGAAGCTAGCTCGTTTAGCAGATTTGCTATTGTAGCTTTAAGGAGTGTCTTGGAAAAAAGCTTCCTCATGAAGTCATACTGATATTCTAACATCAAAGGCAAATTTAAACATATTGGTGCAAAATTTTAAAGATATTGGCCAGAGGCAAAGTTCCTTTAGAGGGCATGTGTAGAGAAGTATTAAAACCTCAGATGAAAAAGGCTTTTGGGTCTTCACTGCTGGATCTTTAAGAAAATCTGATATTTGTGACTGGCACGGCAGAAACAGAAGGTAGCTTCGGTCTAAGCCTTGGGCAGCTGTGACGTTTCATAAGGAGCTCTGCAGAAACAGCTGTAGAAAACAATCCTCGACTCCGGTGGTGCTGCGCTAGCCTTACAGCAGAGAGCGTGTGTCATCAGTCATGTAGCTCTAAAGCCTCTGCTAGTCCGTCAGAGTTGTTTTATTCTCTGGTAGATGGCGACGAGAACGGATGTTGGATTACCGGAGAAGTTCAACTGAACCCCGCTAGCTGGAGATCATTACTGGAGGTGCAGACATGTTTTGAACCACTTGACTCAGAATTCCTGTGATTTGATTTGGACACGTGGAGGATTCGGTTCGTCTTCAGAACCAAAATCTGTACTTCTGTTAAATATTACATTTCTGTGATCAGAGCGCTTCCACCGGGAACTCTCAGCTGGTCTTAGCTCCATCATACTGTCCCGATACAAACCAATAATCTACAGATAAATAAAATAATGTGCTGCCGGGTTTACCGCTGCGAGCAGAACTCTGGAAAGCATTTAACCAATAGCTTACCAGAACAACTGAGCCCAGTTCAAGTTTTTATAGACGGTAAAGTGTAGCTACGCTGAATTCTACTATTTTAATGACGATTTCTGGCCAAAACCTTTTATTGAACAAAATCTGCCACACTAATCAGGTAAACTGCGTAAACTCAAGCTAAATATTGTAGAGAATAAAAAATAGATATCAAAGTCCAATAAAGAAAGAAAGACAAACAATGACGTCAATACGCTTCATGAGGTGTTGATTTGAGAACGAAATAAAAAGGTGAACTCTAATTATATTAGATGGACAAATAAAATATCTCATTTGTAGTTCTCTCACAGCAGAAATGACTACAAACTCTGTTCAGTGCTCACCAAGAACCCAGAGATGAGAGCGAGCACATCAGACACGGCATAATCCTTGAACCGGGCCCGCTCGTGCTGATAGGTGTTTCTCAGCACGGCACCATGCACCAGTGCTCCCAGTATGAAGGTAACATGGCCGACAACGATCACGCTGAGACCCATCTTCATCAGCACCTTGGGTTTCTCCAGTCTGCCGCAACACACACCTGATGAGGAGGAGGGAAGCAGTGAAGGGAATGTTTCATAATCCGTGTTCCTAACTGGACTGTATTGATGAGTCAGGCTGTAGCCTACTGCTGGACGTCTCCGGGGTTAATGATTGGTCGGTGAGCTAGCAAACAGGACAGTGCAAAGACCCCTAAAGAAGCAGGTGATCAAAATGTGTAAAAGTTGAACTGATCCTGGACCTGTTTCAGCTATAATTAATGCACTGGTCTGACATCATGAACTCGTGTCCTGTGTGGCTGGGGCTTTAAATGAAAATAAATCCTGAACTATAAACGAGAGACAACTAAAACATGCTGACAAAAACAATAATAAACAAACAAAAGGAGTTTTCCTGTGGAAATGGGGTTAGAATGCCTAAGAACTCAAATCTAGAACTAGTTTCACTGAAAATTTTAAATAATAAAATTAGAGAAACTCAATTAAATATAATATTTAAACTTTGTGTTTACTTTTAACCAAATCAGTTGCATAAATAATTACAGCTCTGACTCAAACAAGTCATGCATTAAACAGTTTGCTTCTTACAGACTGCTTTTTTATTTAATGAATTAACAACTGAGGTTTCCATAACTGATTTTAAATATTAAAAACCAGTTTTATATTCTTCATCTGTTCAGATCCTCCGTGCTAACCTGGCCACGTGTCTCTTCCTGAAATGTCCGGACACTTTCCAAACTTATTAAAATGGGAAAGTTCAAATCAGTTCAAGCATGGTTCAATCAAATGAACGCGCGATTACTTTTAGTCACTAAACATGAGACCATCACCAGCATCGGGATTGCTTCAGAAACGGAGGCACGTGACCCGTGAGACGCCACCACAGCTGTAAAATATTTTTAAAATACCAAATTAAGCTTTCCTTAGGCTAAAGGTTGAATTACCTGCGCCAGCCATGTCAGCTAGGTCCACGGTGCTGCAGGTCAGCGTTGCTACCCAGACACCTGCTGAAGCCGACAGACAGCGGCCAAACGCGGCGTGACACACCTGTTCTAACTGACCTTCAAAATAAAATCCTTTCAGGACTTTTAAAGCTTCTAAGTAGAAGTCCAGCGACTAAAACTCGTCAAACCGTGAAATCATGTGCCGGTGTT